CACCACTCGCCCCTCCCCCTTTCATACTCACTCCTTACCTAACACTCACTCCCCCTCCCCTCCCCCTCCCTCCTAGTGAGCTCTAGCTCTTCAGACCCCACCTCGGACCTTTCCTACACCTGGCGTGCCTCATTTTTAACCGATATTCGAATTCTTTGTCGTAATGTGACCTTGTGGTTGATACAGGCTTTGACCTGTGAGTGTATTCACCTAATTGTGTTCACCTAGTTGTGCTTGCGGGGGTTGAGCTCTGCTCTTTCCCGCCTCTCAACTGTCAATCAATTGTTTCTACTACTACTGTTTTTTCTCACTACCCACACACACACACACACCAGGAAGCAGCCCGTGACAGCTGACTAACTCCCAGGTACCTATTTACGGCTAGGTAACAGGAGCATAGGGTGAAAGAAACTCTGCCCATCGTTTCTCCCCGGCGCCAAGGATCGAACCCGGGACCACAGGATCACATGCCCAGCGTGCTGTCCAGTCAGCCACCGGCCCCCCTTAGGGAGGCAGGAGGCAGTAGTTCAATTGTGGTGACAATTGATGAGCACATGAACTGAGATGATCCCGTAGCGTTCCCTGATGATCCCTCCTGCCGGCAGCAGCAGCAGGGATGGGGGGAGCTATCCACCCAGCTCCTGGTTGATACCTGGTTGATACCTGGTTGATACCTGGTTGATGGGGTTGTGGGAGTTCTTCTACTCCCCAAGCCCGGCCCGAGGCCAGACTTGACTTGTGAGAGTTTGGTCCACCAGGCTGTTGCTGGGAGCGGCCCGCAGGCCCACATACCCACCACAGCCCGGTTGGTCCGGCACTCCTTGGAGGAATAAATCTAGTTTCCTCTTGAAAATGTCCACGGTTGTTCCGGCAATATTTCTTATGGTCGCTGGGAGGACGTCCATCTGGGAGGACAGCTCCATCTATCCTCTTGTCCACAGCTACGAACAGGCCACACACACATTCCAATGGAATGCATTAGGCAGTGATGTTGTGGAGGCTGACTCCATACACAGTTTCAAATGTAGATATGATAGAGCTCAGTAGGCTCAGGAACCTGTACACCTGTTGATTGACAGTTGAGAGGCGGGACCAAAGAGCCAGAGCTCAACCCCCGCACACACAACTAGGCGAGTACATCCCTCGGGTGAGGTGGCCCGCCGTCTCCTGCTCCTGTCAACCCCGGGAAACAACGACGGAACACCAAGCGTGTTCTGTCGTTGGTGTGGAGGTGTGGAGTCCCAAGACTCCACACCTCCACACCAACTTCCTGATCTTCCATATCAACCTTTTTGTGTGTAGGGGAGAGAGGGGAAGATGATGGGGAAGCGGAGGTGAAGGGAGGACAACTCCGGCCTGAGTGTGTTGATGGGGCCCGGCCTGAAGGGGAAGGGAACTATCAGGGGGGGAAAGCGCCAAGCCATTACGACTATATAGCACTGGGAAGGGGGTCAGGATAAGCATTTGGGATGGGACGGAAGGAAGGAATGGTGGCCCAACCACCTGTGAACGGTTGGGGATTATCCTCCATATATACTCCAGCATCACAGACAGGCCGCGCCGGTACATCCCAGCACTGTCTGAATGTCTGCTGATGGCTTAGTTTTTGAATGATGGTGTTTGGCACCGTCACTATGGCTCACTGTCACTGTGGCTCACTGTAACTGTCACTGTGGCTCACTGTGACTGTGACTGTGGCTCACTGTGACTGTCACTGTGGCTCACTGTGACTGTCACTGTGGCTCACTGTGACTGTGGCTCACTGTGACTGTCACTGTGGCTCACTGTGACTGTCACTGTGGCTCACTGTGACTGTGGCTCACTGTGACTGTCACTGTGGCTGACTGTGACTGTGGCTCACTGTGACTGTCACTGTGGCTCACTGTGACTGTCACTGTGGCTCACTATGACTGTCACTGTGGCTCACTGTGACTGTCACTGTGGCTCACTGTGACTGTGGCTCACTGTGACTGTCACTGTGGCTCACTGTGACTGTGGCTCACTGTGACTGTCACTGTGGCTCACTGTGACTGTCACTGTGGCTCACTGTGACTGTGGCTCACTGTGACTGTCACTGTGGCTCACTGTGACTGTGGCTCACTGTGACTGTCACTGTGGCTCACTGTGACTGTCACTGTGGCTCACTGTGACTGTGGCTCACTGTGACTGTCACTGTGGTTCACTGTGACTGTGGCTCACTGTGGCTCACTGTGATCACTGTGGCTCACTGTGATCACTGTGGCTCACTGTGGCTCACTGTGATCACTGTGGCTCACTGTGATCACTGTGGCTCACTGTGACTGTCACTGTGGCTCACTGTGACTGTGACTGTGGCTCACCATCCATAACTGACGTTGTAGGTCGCGACTGAGGATGAAACAAATCAAACAACTGTACTCATCTAGTTGTGTTTGCGGGGGTTGAGCTCTGGCTCTTTGGTCCCGCCTCTCAACCGTCAATTAACTGGTGTACAGGTTCCTGAGCCTACTGGGCTCTATCATATCTACATTTGAAACTGTGTATAGAGAGTCAGCCTCCACCACATCACTGCCTAGTGCATTCCATTTACTAACTACTCTGATACTGAAAAAGTTCTTTCTAATGTCCCTGTGGCTCATTTGGGTACTCAGCTTCCGCCTGTGTCCCCTTGTTCGTGTACCACCCATGCTAAATAATCCGTCCTTGTCTACTCTGTCAATTCCCCTGAGAATTTTCTATGTGGTGATCATGTCTCCCCGAGCTCTTCTGTCTTCCAGCAACGTGAGGTGCAGTTCCCTCAGCCTTTCCTCGTAACTCATGCTTCTTAGTTCTGGGACTAGCCTAGTGGCATACCTCTGAACTTTTTCCAGCATCGCCTTGTGCTTGATAAGGTACGGGCTCCATGCTGGGGCTGCATACTCCAGGATTGGTCTTACACCCTGAAGGTGTGTGTGTGTGTGTGTGTGTGTGTGTGTGTGTGTGTGTGTGTGTGTGTGTGTGTGTGTGTGTGTGTGTGTGTGTGTGTGTGTGTGTGTGTGTGTGTGTGCGAGAGAGTGAGAGAGTGAGGGAGTGAGAGTGAGAGTAAGTGAGAGTGAGAGAAAGTGAGAGAGTGAGAGAAAGTGAGAGAGTGAGAGAAAGTGAGAGAGTGAGAGAGTGAGAGAGAGAGAGAGAGTGAGAGAGAGAGAGAGAGTGAGAGAGTGAGAGAGTGAGAGAGAGAGAGAGAGAGAGAGAGAGAGAGAGAGAGAGAGAGAGAGAGAGAGAGAGAGAGAGAGAGAGAGAGCAAAAGAAAGTGAGAGAGTGAGAGAGAGAGAGAGAGAGAGAGAGAGAGAGAGAGAGAGAGAGAGAGAGAGAGAGAGAGAGAGAGAGAGAGAGAGAGAGAGAGAGAGAGAGAGAAAGTGAGAGAGTGAGAGAGAGAGAGAGAGAGAGAGAGAGAGAGAGAGAGAGAGAGAGAGAGAGAGAGAGAGAGAGAGAGAGAGAGAGAGAGAGAGAGAGAGAGAGAGAGAGAGAGAGAGTACATATGGAGGGGGGGGGAGGGGGGAAAGTGATGAACAACACTACCACACACACAACCATACCCCCCCCCCCCCTCCCCCCAACTTTGAATAGAGCAGTGGTCTACGTCCCCGACTCACACTCTAGCTACCAGGGGGGGGGGGTTCAATCCCCCTGCCGGGAGAGGAACGGTTGAGCAAGTTCACTTTCAACTGATGATTCCGTTCACTTGGCAGCATGTAGGTACCTGCGAGCTAGTCAACTGTTGTGGGTAGCATCCTGGGCAGTTGTTATATGAAGGGAATTTTTGCTATAAACGACCGTTGAGGCGTTAGGCCTATTTTCCCGCCTTTCCAGTAGCTGTTAAGAGGGGGATCCGCTATAGCAAAGGGGGTCTTTTAAGAGGGGATCCACTATAGCGAAAAGGTCTTTATGAGAGCAATCACTACATAGAAGAGGGGGGGGCCGGGGGGGGGCGGGGGGGGGCGGGGGGGGGGGGGGGGGGGGGCGGGGGGGGGGGGGGGGGGGGGGGGGGGGGGGGGGGGGGGGGGGGGGGGGGGGGGGGGGGGGGGGGGGGGGGTGGGGGCGGGGGGGGGGGGGTGGGGGGGGGGGTCTTTAGGATGAGATTGTCTGCACTAATTAATTTGCTGCGAGTGTCGACGCGGTGAGTAATTACGTCCAGTCTGGTGAGTCCTGGGTACGTTCACCTCTCGTGAGTCACCTCCCTCACTCACCCCTTACTCTCCCTCACTCACCCCTTACTCTCTCCCTCACTCACCCTTTACTCTCCCTCACTCACCCCTTACTCTCTCCCTCAGCCTGTTCCTGTGCCCCTGCTCGTGACCTTGCCATAACGGTACCCCCCCCCCCCCGCCCCCCACAGGCAGCCTCGGGGCATGCTAAACCTTTATGTCTTCGGACACCTGCCGGGCACCCGCCCGCCCGGGCACGGAGCCCCGGCCCTTGGGCACGGAGCCCCGGCCCTTGGGCACGGAGCCCCGGCCCTTGGGCACGATACGTGGCCTTCAGAACCCTCACCTACAAGGCAGCCCTCACCTAGGGAACAAAGCAGCCCTCACCTACAAAGCAGCCCTCACCAACAAAGCAGCCCTCACCTAGGGAACAAAGCAGCCCTCACCAACAAAGCAGCCCTCACCTAGGGAACAAAGCAGCCCTCACCTACAAAGCAGCCCTCACCTAGGGAACAAAGCAGCCCTCACCTAGGGGAACACAGCAGCCCTCACCTAGGGGAACACAGCAGCCCTCACCTAAGCAACAAAGCAGCCCTCACCTAGGGAACAAAGCAGCCCTCACCTAGGGAACAAAGCAGCCCTCACCTAGGGGAACAAAGCAGCCCTCACCTAGGGAACAAAGCAGCCCTCACCTAGGGAACACAGCAGCCCTCACCTAGGGGAACAAAGCAGCCCTCACCAACAAAGCAGCCCTCACCTAAGGAACAAAGCAGCCCTCACCTAGGCAACAAAGCAGCCCTCACCAACAAAGCAGCCGTGTAACAGTAACATACAGACCTGAACATGGCATGCAGGTGTCGTCAGCGGGGAGGAGCTCGGAGGCGCTGTAGGAGGTGGCGTTGAAGGGCTTGAGTGACGCTGTAGTGGCGGACACGGCGGCGCTCCAGCCCCTACGGTGACGTCCCGAGCAGCACGACTCCCGCGTCATCTCCGAGCTCAGCAGACGTCCACACGACCCGTCGCGGTGCTTCAGACGCCAGCACACCCCGACGCCAGCCCCTGTAAGTGTATACACACGTATTAGTCTACCTCAGACGCCAGCACACCCCGACGCCAGCTCCTGCAAGTGTATACACACGTGTTACTCTACCTCAGACGCCAGCACACCCCGACGCCAGCTCCTGTAAGTGTATACACACGTGTTACTCTACCTCAGACGCCAGCACACCCCGACGCCGGCTCCTGTAAGTGTATACACACGTGTTACTCTACCTCAGACGCCAGCACACCCCGACGCCAGCTCCTGCAAGTGTATACACACGTGTTACTCTACCTCAGACGCCAGCACACCCCGACGCCAGCTCCTGTAAGTGTATACACACGTGTTACTCTACCTCTTACCCTCTTAGTAACGGTTCCTAGTCTGCCCTGTTACTGTAGTAAGGGCTCTTACTCTCCCTGTTACTGTAGTAAGGGCTCTTACTCTCCCTGTTACTGTAGTAAGGGCTCTTACCCTCCCTGTTACTGTAGTAAGGGCTCTTACCCTCCCTGTTACTGTAGTAAGGGCTCTTACTCTCCCTGTTACTGTAGTAAGGGCTCTTACCCTCCCTGTTACTGTAGTAAGGGCTCTTACCCTCCCTGTTACTGTAGTAAGGGCTCTTACCCTCCCTGTTACTGTAGTAAGGGCTCTTACTCTCCCTGTTACTGTAGTAAGGGCTCTTACCCTCCCTGTTACTGTAGTAAGGGCTCTTACCCTCCCTGTTACTGTAGTAAGGGCTCTTACCCTCCCTGTTACTGTAGTAAGGGCTCTTACTCTCCCTGTTACTGTAGTAAGGGCTCTTACCCTCCCTGTTACTGTAGTAAGGGCTCTTACCCTCCCTGTTACTGTAGTAAGGGCTCTTATTCTCCCTGTTACTGTAGTAAGGGCTCTTACCCTCCCTGTTACTGTAGTAAGGGCTCTTACCCTCCCTGTTACTGTAGTAAGGGCTCTTACTCTCCCTGTTACTGTAGTAAGGGCTCTTACTCTCCCTGTTACTGTAGTAAGGGCTCTTACTCTCCCTGTTACTGTAGTAAGGGCTCTTACCCTCCCTGTTACTGTAGTAAGGGCTCTTACCCTCCCTGTTACTGTAGTAAGGGCTCTTATTCTCCCTGTTACTGTAGTAAGGGCTCTTACCCTCCCTGTTACTGTAGTAAGGGCTCTTACCCTCCCTGTTACTGTAGTAAGGGCTCTTACCCTCCCTGTTACTGTAGTAAGGGCTCTTACCCTCCCTGTTACTGTAGTAAGGGCTCTTACCCTCCCTGTTACTGTAGTAAGGGCTCTCAGAACAGATACCTCGTGGAGGGTCAGTCGCCATCGGCGTGCAGAAGTGACCACGAGGCCGCCACACCCACAACCCACCAGCCTAATATATCAAGAACTCTAGCAGAGAGGCCAAGACATGGGGCCCGTGTCCACACCAGGACACATGGGGCCCGTGTCCACACCAGGACACATGGGGCCCGTGTCCACACCAGGACACATGGGGCCCGTGTCCACACCAGGACACATGGGGCCCGTGTCCACACCAGGACACATGGGGCCCGTGTCCACACCAGGACACATGGGGCCCGTGTCCACACCAGGACACATGGGGCCCGTGTCCACACCAGGACACATGGGGCCCGTGTCCACACCAGGACACATGGGGCCCGTGTCCACACCAGGACACACGGCCCGTGTCCACACCAGGACACACGGGGCCCGTGTCCACACCAGGACACACGGCCCGTGTCCACACTAGGACACACGGCCCGTGTCCACACCAGGACACACGGGGCCCGTGTCCACACCAGGACACACGGGGCCCGTGTCCACACCAGGACACACGGGGCCCGTGTCCACACTAGGACACACGGGGCCCGTGTCCACACCAGGACACACGGGGCCCGTGTCCACACCAGGACACACGGGGCCCGTGTCCACACCAGGACACACGGGGCCCGTGTCCACACCAGGACACACGGGGCCCGTGTCCACACTAGGACACACGGGGCCCGTGTCCACACTAACTATCCCCAGCTCCTTACCCAATAATACACGTACGTGTCTTCCCTACTGATGGTTCCCCGACCATTGGGTCCAGCTATAAGGGATGTAAGGCTGAGATTATCGACCTTTTATGCTATATATAACTTTTTTTTTGTTTTAACCTCCGAGGTATTACCCTATTGTTGGTGTCTGGGAATAGGACCTTCCGTTACCTATCTTACGCGAGTCTTAAGTTTACTGCTGATTAGCCTATGTATTTTGAAACTATTACAAGAAACTATTATTTTTTTATCCTTGATAAAAAATAAG